AGGCACATTCAAGCATGCGGTGTCGCTCGCCCCCAAAAAAGTTCCTTACCCCCGCGCGCGGCCGGGTTCACATGTCGGCCATGGCTTTTTCGGGAGAGTACACAGCATACAATGAGGAAGTTCTGGCTGCGAATGCGTTGATATCATTATGGTTAAGATGGTTCAAAATCTACGTTGTCTTAGCCGAAGACTTTTGCTTGAACCCTACCATGCTTGCTTGGATCGGTACCGTCACCCTAGGCTAGGCTATCCCCTCCATCGCCGGTTTTCAAGTTTTCTCATACCCTGCTGAGCAGGGCCTGCTTCAGTGAAGATCATATTCGTAATCAATGGTGCAGATAGTCTACCCTATGTTTTCCAGGCGTATACTTCCGCTTTCACGAAAAGACGACTCTTTGTGGCGGATTCGACTATGAATTTTGAGAACGCATTCGAGAATTAAAAAAAAACCAGGAGAATTTGCCAAAGGGAATTTAAACGATGATTCCGTATACCACCAGGATAGTGCATTGGTCATCGTATGTGCCACAGAGCCGCTACTATCCGTGTGTTTGACAACCACGGCCCAGTCATTCAAAGGTGTTCCCGAGTTGGTGTTGAGATCATGATATGTGTGAAAGCATATTCTGCTAGCAATCTTCTATGCTGTTCATTGAACGCCTTGTGTAAGTAGTCAAGAACTCGATGGGGATGCTAGTGATCAATATTAAGATTCAACTTGCCAAATTCCAACTATGATTCATCAAACTACTCTCCTGATCAGTTCTTCAATATGGCCGCCGCCGCCGCCCAAGAAGTTTCCCGAGGGAAGGTCGTCATGGCTAACACAGGGCGATGTGTCGCGTACTCGTTCATCGCCATGTTCTGCTTTGGAGTCACCAATTATCTCATCGCGTACTGGCTTGGTCGTGCTTGCGTGAGTGTCTTACTTGTCTCTATCTCAGAGTTGCTACTGGCATCCTTGACGATTCTGTGGAGGCGTATTATGCTATTGGTGCTGAGTGGAAGATGCTGGCTATCATTTGGGGAGTAGGGGGCATTCCAGGTAGGAGCTCAAAAGGATGCTTATAAAGGATATGTATCGGAAACACTTTTGATGTTGTTAGTTTATTCGTCCATTGAGATAACATCTAGGAGTATAATAGCAGGGAGAGTGGTTGGTCGTACTCAATCGACTTAGACTGTCTTTACCACAGTCTTGGCAAAAGGCTTCCTTCACCTGAGAGGAACACATTGGAGTTTCACAACCCGTTTTACGCGAAGGGGCGTGATATGCAGTAGCCGTGACATATATTTTTCACTAGTGTTTTTCCTATCACGGGTTGTGGAACTCCATTGTGTGCTACGGGGGGGATGGGGACAGCGATCCATGATGATGTACCATTACCTTCTAATATCATCTAACTATGCAAGGGGCAAAAAAGGCCAACTACAGTGACTGCTTTAGCTCATGTTCCAATCACGTATTCACAATATGTGATATTGTTGGACGAAATTCAGGTTTTCTCGTCAATTTCACTATAACTGTTTCAGCGGATGACGTGTTGGTGTTTCTCCTCAGGTATGTTATGTTATGGCATCCATTGGGTGCGTTGTGGCAGAATTGAGTTCTTCTGGAGTGACACCCCTTCGAACACCTCCTCCATCACGTACAAAACCAAGGCATTGACGCTTGTTGGAGGTCTCGGCTTGGGAGTGTCTATGAGCCTGATGAAGAAAGCATTTGTATTCACCTCGCCTGCTGATAAGGGTAAGGTACCTACGTCTCGGTGAGAAAATTTTCACATAGGGAACTACATTTTGTGGGAATTCTGAGGAAATGATCATTTGTTTCTGCACACTTCTACTCGGGTTCGTATGTAAACTTGTATTGATAAGTGTAGCTGAGAAAAGCGAATATTTATTCCTCCAACACTGACCTTGGGCATGTTGATCCTTAGGCCCAGTGAGTGCCGTCCTATGTTCGACAACTATAGTGGTCAGCGTGTACGGCCACTTCATATTCAGGGAGCTCCTCAGTAGACGCCACGCGGTGCTGATAGGGGTGGTAAGTAGATCAGTATACCAATGGAGTTTTACCCGTTTAACGTGGAGTGATGCAATTCTCCATGCAAATTATAGGACGTGTATGTCTCGGCGGCTGAAAACACAATTGTATTCTGCGTAGTAAATCGTGAAATATGTTTTTCACTGGTGTTACTCATATCGCTGGTGACCCTTCAATAACCTGCATCTACCCAGTAGGTAGTGTGTGGTGTTTTGATATCGGCACTGGGGCCGGGAGGGTCTACCAAGACAGAGGACGAAGTGGCAGCGAGTGGTCAGCAGTATCATGAGACTTTAGGATTCATCTTCGCGGTAAGAGCAGTCTATAGTGCCTTTATAAGTAAAGATTTGTCTGTTGAGGGAGGAGCGGTATGGATAGGTTCCGTGACGGAGGAACTCCTGAGTCATTTGTGACGACCAGCTGATGTTTCTGACGATCAGATCCTCTCCATGTTGGCGTTTGCGGCCACTACGTTGTTGATTCGATACAGTGCCATAGGTAGGCTTGAACTGTTTTCACCATATTACGGTTCACAATAAGTTAGGGTGTACAAATTGGTGACTTCTGATCAGTAAAGCGATGGTGGTGTAATTTTGAATGAATCTCAGAATTATTAAAAATTCCTGGAAATGTCTTGGGAAGAGCTTCTTTGTTCTGAGGAGGGTATTTTCCCAAATCAGCATTTTTCACCAAGCTTCCGAGTTCTGGGGGTTGAAACAGATATAGGCCATTGATGATGTGATAAGCTGTCGTAGGGTGTGGGAAAATACGCACACGGTCAACTACAGGCGTCGGTGACAAAATGGAAATTGTAAGGAAATTTGGGAATTCGTATGTAAACAACTAGGATAAGTGGAGAAACTTCTTAGCTCGGCTGAGAAGAACGAACATATATTCCACAACGTGAAGTGGTCACAACCGTCAGCGTTGTTGACATGAGGGCGAGCGAGATTATGACTTCCCCTTAGCCGTGCATAGGAACAATAACTTTCCTGGAGCCATTTTGGTGTTATTCAGGCAAGGTGTCTACTTGGAGCGCCTTCTCAGCCAGATTGGTATCTCAAACGGGTATGGCGTTTCTCGTGGGGTATGCTTTTGTGAAGAGTGATGAAGGTCAAGACTTACCGTCATTGGTGTTGCCCAATAGAGTAGTGGCATTGGCAGTACTAGCTGGCGTAACGCAGGTATTGCGCGGGGAGTTGTTGTTGTTATGCAACAAGTTTTTAGACTGGTCGTAGTGAATTGGGCTGAACATGGGATGTTCACAGAATTTCTATGCGTTTGTCAAGTCGTCTGTCGTAGCTGAGATGATGGCAA